CACAGAAGGATCTTGAACTGTGTCCCAGGAAGAGCAGGATCCTGCACCTCAGGGAAAGAGGGGCCAGAGGGGACACGGGCAGCATGGGAGCAGCACGGGCGCACATCCCGGAGCCATCCGGGCTGCGAGGGGAYGGGGATGGGGATCGGGACAGGACGGGGAAGGGGACGGGGACGGGACAGGCCAAGCATCCCCTTGCGGGGCCTGCAGCAGAGCTGGGGTCTGGGGAAGGGTCCCCGGTCCCAACCCGCCGCTTGGCAGCGCAGCCCCTCAGCGGCCACGTGCCAGGGGCCACCKCAGCCCAGCCGGGATGCTGCAGAGCTGGGAACACAGGAAGGGGCTGGGAACGCTGGGGCTGCAGGAAAACCCTGGGCACGGGACACAGCGAGGGTGACACGGTGACGTGCAGCTCTGCAGGGACCCTGGTGGGGACAGGGCCTCTCCAAGGCGCGGGGACACGCGCGGGCGCGAAGGACGGCGGCTCTTCCTCACCGTGCTCTCCAGGTCCTGCTCCTGCGCGCTCAGCGGACGGAAGCAGCGCCGGACGGCCGCGTTCAGCGCCTGCACGTGCTGCACCTGCTGCTGCAGCTCCTCCGTGCGGCCCCGGAACTGCTGCAGCTGCAGGYGGAGAGAGCGGCGCTCGCTGCATCGGAGCGCCCGGAGCGCCCGGCCCCGTGCCCGGCCGCCCCACGCTGCGCACTGCTGCCCCGTTCGCTCTTCCATCCCTCCCGTTCTCCCCTTGTGAAACTCGGGGCCACCTGAGGCACCGTCACAGCGTCACCTTCCTGGGGCGCCCTTCCCAGGCCCCCCTTCCCGGGGAGCCCTTCCTGGGGTGCCCTTTCCGGGGAGCCCTTCCCGGGGTGCCCTTCCTGGGGAGCCCTTCCCAGGGAGCCCTTCCCGGGGAGCCCTTCCCGGGGCGCCCTTCCCAGGGAGCCCTTCCCGGGGAGCCCTTCCCAGGCCCCCCTTCCCGGAGAGCCCTTCCTGGGGAGCCCTTCCCAGGGAGCCCTTCCCGGGGAGCCCTTCCCAGGCCCCCCTTCCCGGGGAGCCCTTCCTGGGGTGCCCTTCCCAGGGAGCCCTTCCCGGGGAGCCCTTCCCAGGCCCCCCTTCCCAGGGAGCCCTTCCTGGGGAGCCCTTCCCGGGGCGCCCTTCCCGGGGAGCCCTTCCCAGGGAGCCCTTCCTGGGGAGCCCTTCCCGGGGAGCCCTTCCTGGGGAGCCCTTCCCGGGGTGCCCTTTCCGGGGAGTGCTTCCCAGGGAGCCCTTCCCAGGGAGCCCTTCCCGGGGAGCCCTTCCTGGGGAGCCCTTCCCGGGGCGCCCTTCCCGGGGAGCCCTTCCTGGGGAGTCCTTCCCGGGGCGCCCTTCCTGGAGTGCCCTTCCCAGGGAGCCCTTCCCGGGGCCCCCTTCCCGGGGCGCCCTTCCCGGCTCCCTCCTGCCCTGCGCGCAGCACCGGCGGATGCTGCCCCGACACGCAGGAAACCCCGGGGTTCCCAGGTCGCTCTGCACCCGCAGGACCTCAACTCTGTCCACAGCAGAGCCCTCGCACGCTGGGACCGCGAGGGGAGATGGGAGAGGGCCAGGCACCAACGCGGCCGCAGACACTGACTGCGGCACCAAAACTTCCCTGGGAATCTRAACCAACTGCTCTCCCCTTCCCAGGGCAGGGGGAAATATATTTGCACGTGTTTTTATACTCAGTATTTCCGTATTTCCCACTTAGTGAGTGTATTCCACTAGGAGAAAAGAYTAAATGCCTGGAATTCACTCAGAGAAGTGAAAGAAGCAGGTACACCTCACTGCTTAGACTGGGACTGCCTTGCAGAGAGCTGCAACCCGAGCAGAAACAGCCGGAGGCTGCGCCCAGACCCACGGAATCRCAGTCCCAGCAGGGCTGAGGCYGGAGGGGATCCCTAGGGATCATCCGGTGCAGCCCCTGCACACGCAGGGACACCCGGAGCACGGGGCACAGGCTGCACCCAGGCGGGTTTGGAGACCTCCAGGGCCGGAGGCTCCGCAGCCTCCCCGGGCAGCCCGGGCCAGGGCTCGGGCACCCTCAYGGGAAAGCTGTTCCTCCTCACATGGAGATGGAWCTGCCTCYGTTCTAATTTATACTCATTACCCCTGTCTGCCCTCAGGGAAAACAGGTGGTAAAACGTGAGGTCCAACTTGGAGCCCAGCTGGCCACGGCACACTGGGAACTTCCAGCCCGAAGAGCAGGAGAGTCGCGGCGAATGCCAAAATCTGCCAAAATCACCACTGCTCTTGGGGGGAGCAGAGTCCTTGGGAACTGAAACTGGATTTCCAGACCCCTGCCCCTGCCGCTGACAAGTTAACCTCCCTGCGCAGGGCCCTCTGATGTCTATAGCAGCCAATTTCCGATGTTAAATCAGCTTTACGGAAGTGTCTTTGGGGACGGTGGCATCTGGACCTGGGTCAGAAGAACCAGCCATTCGCGCTGTTTCGGAGCTAAGGGGCAGCTAGAGACTGGGAATCTCCATCTGGCCATGCCCGAAGCAGTTACTGGCTCCAAAGGCTGCAGCTCGGAGCCCGGCTGGCAGCAGCTCCACGGGAAAGGGGCCAGCGGCGTGGCTGGCACGGAGCGGACGCGCTCGGCGGAGCCGAACCACAAACCAGGCAAACGGGAGCTCCTGTCCGCGCCAGGCGCAGYGGGTCCCGCTGCGGGCAGGGGCGCCCGCGGGGACCCCCGTACCCGGTGCGAGCACTTGGCCACGGTGACGATGTCGGTGCCCACGCTGCGGTAGAGCTGCACGACGGCGCCCAGCTCCGCCAGCAGCCGCCGGCTGCGGCGCGCGGCCTCGCTCAGCAGCAGCGCCAGGATCTCCTCGGTGATGAGCAGCAGCGAGGGGCCTGGGCGCCGGGCACCGGGAAGGAAACCGGGGAGCTGCACCCGCGGGGACCCCACGAGCCCTCCTGCCTCCTCCCATTAGCCGGCACCCGAGTGTCGTCACCCCCAGCCCGCGGGACCTGCCGCTCATCCCGCCGTTTCCACTGCCTCCCACTCCCGCGTCGGGAATCGCTCTCCGATCGGATCTCACCGATCTCGGCCCGGATGCGGCTGCAGTCCAGCAGGAGCAGCCGGTTGCGGGTGACGATGCCGGCGGGCAGCGCGTCGGCGCGCGCTGCCCACGCGCGCAGCTGCGCCACGCGGCGCGCGCAGTCCTCGGCCGGCCAGCCCCTCATGCGCTCGCGCTCCGCGGCGCCCCAGCTGCGCGCCACGCGGTGCATCTCGCCCAGCCACGCGTGCTCCCGGCACATCTCCTGCACCTCCGTCAGTGCCGCCTGCCGGGACGGCGCCTGGGGCTCGCTCAGCCCTCCAAACACGGCTCCCCTCTTCAGAGCCCCTTACCCGCGCGGCCCCGGCCAAAGGAGAAGGGTTTCTCGCTGCTGACCCTCCCCGCCGCCAGCCCCAAGGCTTGCTAAGAACCTCCACGCGATGCTGCGCGCTGCCTCGTGCTCCAGAACCCACAGAGCCCTTTCGCATCCATCCTTAYGGGGCTTTCCCAAACGGGAATGTCTGACCAGGGAAGCGGAGGCATCACAGAGCCCCAGACTGACTCAGCCCCGAGTCTGTCACTGCCTTTCCCTGCAAGCACGTCACGCAGGAAGCAGACTTGTGCTCGAAACGGTGGGAACTGACGGTCTGGATATAGCTGATAAAAGCAGGGCGGGCACACAGAAGAAGCTCTGAGAAGAGCCTCAGGGAAGAGGCTTCCAAAGGGCCGTTGTGGGGACGAGRATCAGCCTCTTTTGGAGCTCTGTCCCGGGCAGAAAAGCGCTCCCCCACCTGCTGCCGCGTCCACACGGAGCAGCACGCGTCCACACGTGCAGCCCCGGCTCCCCGCTCACCTCCAGCAAAGCCCGCTGCTCCTCAGCGGCTTCCTGGATGCACTTGTCCTTGCGCAGGTCCTCAGCGAGCTGCTCCCACGACGGCAGCGGATAGTGGCTCCGCACCTGGTGGCCAGTCACCCTCAGGCCCGCGGCGGCCCTCGTGTCTACGGGCAGAACCAGCCGTGGCTCCGGCTCACGCGCGAACTCCGCAGGCGGAGCCCAGGGCAGCCCGCTGCCGGGCTGAAATTCCAGGTTTTCAACATTTCTCTTATTGGCTCTCCCGGGACCTGTGCAAACGGACACAAAGCTCCAGCAGGTGCCAAGGAGATGACCCTTCTTCCCCCGGTTTGACATCCACCCTCAAATAAAGCCCCCTGTGCTCAGGACTGCTGTGCCAGCAGGGAGGGTGCAGGACAGAGCCCCGCGCCCCGGGCACGGAGCACCCACCGCCCGCCACGCGCTGCTCCTCGGGACCCTCTCGGGCTGCACCGGCCTGCTCTGCGCGCGTCTCTGGGTTCTCGCCCGTATTTTGGGTCACCTGCAGGGAAGGAAGAGCTGGAAGTCAGCGAGTGCTTGAAGAAAAGCATTCCTCACGGATTACTTTTCCTGAGTGAGGAGTTACCCCTCTCCAGCACACAGAATGGCATGACAGAAATTGCTGTTTTTCATGCAAAGTTGTGTGGACGCCCTCCAGCTGGGAGGCAGGACCGGCCCTTCTGCACGCTCCCAACCACGAGGGCAATGACATGGGAGCAACGACTGTCACCCTTCCCCAAGAGCCCTGCCGCTGTCCCGGCACGGCATGGGGCAGCCGGTCGCAAGCACCCATCTCTTCCAGATCTTTCTCCA